CCCACCCCTCCCAAAAAAAGCAAAAACTAGGAGATAAAATGTCTAAAGATTGAGAGATCTAGTAGACTATTTTATGAATATTATAGCCTGTTGTGCAATGAACTAAGCATAATTCATAAACAACATCAATATTTCAATACGCTAATTAATAAACTCAAAAACCAAATTCAACACTAGATCAAAATGAAAGCCTTCTTATGGTCAAACTCGTTACATGGAAAGTAATAGTTGTGTAGTTGCGTCCTCACTAATCCTAATATATGAGAGGAAATGAAAGCCTTCTTACCTAATAGTGGTAAAAGGAAATGGGAAAATCTTGAACTAATGACATAAAGAAGATAGATAACAGAAAAAGAGTAACAAACCTTGCTGTATTGGTAGACCATAACCAATAGATAGTGAAGGGAAGGGAAAGAGAGATCATCAATTGGCCCAGAGAAAAGGGGGAGTGGAAGAGACAGAAAAAGAGCTATGAACATTGCTGTATTGGTAGACCATAACCAAGGATAGAGAAGGGAAGGGAAAGAGAGATCACCAATTTTGAGAGAGAGAAAAAGAGGAGTGGAAGATAATGTCAGTTAATGTTCAGGTTCTTTCCAGTTGAGTTCGGTTATATTAGGTAAGAATTTAGCTTTTGAAGTTGAAAAAAGTATAGGTATTTGTGTTATCGAATATACAGGTGCATAAACCATATAGAAAAATTATGTACCTTGTTCGCACAATTAGAGATTGCAGCCCTCATTTGTGATGGTGACACCCACATGCTTTTCTGCTTGAAATTATTGTTTTTTAATGATGTTAACTCATCTCATGTAGGAATGGTCACTACCACAAAAGGAGCAACAACCTGTGATGATTGAGGCTCCTGTTGAAGCAGCTGAGGAGGAGCCTGCTGAGATTACTTCCGATGTTGCTCAGGATAAGGCTGACGAAATCCCTGCTGCAGATGAAAGTACTCCTGTTGTTGAGGAGAGTGATGAAACTGCTGAGCAAGAAGCGGCAGAATCCGAGGAAGCTACTGAACAACCAGAAATAAAGGTTAGTGTTGGCTAGATCAGTTCCCTTTTTTAGTAATCAATAGCTTTAGATATCCGGAGACAGTAAACCTTTTTTCAGTTTACCTGTTTAATAAGCATTACTTTTGATTTGTAGATTGAGACAGCGCCAGCAGATTTTCGTTTCCCAACTACAAATCAAACAAGGCATTGTTTTACTCGCTATATTGAGTACCATAGGTATTGTTCAGCTATGATGTTGAGTTTATAAATTTCATTTTCCTTTTCAATCCAAGGATTGTTTTATTATTTTTATGGTAATCTATTTGCTGTATAGCTTAATATTTATTTCCTTCTAATGGCTGAGCGGCGGCTGATTACAGATGCATAGCTGCTAAAGGGGAAGATGCTCCTGAGTGCAATAAGTTTGCAAAATATTATCGTGCACTTTGCCCTGGTGAATGGGTACTGACTATTTCCTTCTATCTTCATTTACTTGCAATGTCAGATGACTAGTTTTAATTTAATTTTTCCATTGATTTCACAGAGTATGCACTGCACTTTAAAATGATTTTTGTGGTATCTGTACTATGATTTGTGTCCAAATTTGTATGAATAGATCTGGTTCATAGGAATATCCAGATATGTGGTTCATATTTGAGGAACTAGATTCTCATGTGAGTGTGGAAAGATATAGGGTGCTTATTGTTTTGTTAGACACCTACAGAAGAGCCAAGTTCCATTTAGTTTACACCAGCCTTTGAGGCGCACACATCCAAGTAACGCACTCGTGCACATGCACACACACACACGCGCGCACACACGCACACACATATGCGCACACACGTGAGTAACGCAGGTACTCAAGTACGCATGCAGACACACGCACACTGAAAAAAGCTTCTCTATCACTTAGGCACAAACGAAGTGTGCACTTTGAGCCCCATGGAGCGCTTCTCTTTGAAGCACATACTTCAGATTTGATTGGATGGTAAAGAAAGAATTTTAACTAAGTAACTAAAATGCCCCCATCTATTCATTTTTCTCTTTGTTAGTCTCAAGTATTTCCCTTTTTTATTGAAATTAAGAAATAAAAGCAATTATCTTATCTAATCCTACCATAGGTCTTCATCGTTTGTGTTATCCTAGATGACATCTTTTCTGCTAATTCAACTTGTTTTCTATCAATTCTGTATTTTAGGTTGAGTTCTTGTTTCACTATGGTGGCGTTTGGTTGTTTGCAACTAGAGTTGCAATGCAAGTGTCACTTGCATGCAACTGAGACGTTGCAACTCTTCTTACATGCAACTACAGTTGCAATTGTTTGGTTTAAAATTTAAATTTTATAACTTATAGTTGCAGTTGTTTGATTATGCTTATAACTTAACATATGCAACTCATAAAATATTTTTAAAAAATAATATTTTTTAAAAAGTAATATATTTTTAAAAACTAATATATTTTAAAAAAATAATATAATTTTAAAAAATAATATAATTTTAAAAAATAATATATTTTTTAAAAAGAAATATAATATTTTAAAAATAATATAATATATCATTTAAAATATATATTATTTTTAGAAAATTATATTATTTTAAAAATATATTGTTCAAAAAATATATTATTTTAAATATATATTATTTTAGAAAAATTATATTATTTTAGAAATTATATATTATTTTAAAAAATATATTATTTTAAAAAAATATATATTATTTTAAAAAATATATTATTTTAGAAATTATATATTATTTTAAAAAAATATATATTATTTTAAAAAATATATTATTTTAGAAAATTATATTTTAGAAAGTTATATTATTTAAAAAATATATTATTCAAAAAATATATTATTTTAGAAAAATAATAGTATTCCTGGAAAATTTTATTTTTCAAAAAATATATTATTTTAGAAAAATATATTATTTTAGAAAAAATATATTATTCAAAAAATATATTATTTTAAAAATATATTATTTTTAAAAAAAATTATTTTAAAAAATAATATATTATTTTAAAGATAATATATTACTTTTAAAACTAACATATTATTTTGAAGAAATTATTATAATAATAATTATTTTAAAAGATTAATGTTGTTTTTTTTTAAAAACGTTTTTGAAGAAATTATTATAATAAGAATTATTTAAAAGATTATTTTAAACCTTTAATGAATTTATTTTTGAAATATTAAGTAATGATTTTGATTTTAATAAATTTAGGTCAGTTGCAACTAAGTTGCAACTATGACTTGCGGTCATTTTTGACGTAAGTCATATGTTGCAACTAAGGGTTGTTTTGCAACTGTGGTTGCAACTGTAACTGTGAGTTGCAGCAAAACAAACAAATGCAACTAGTCAAATTGAACCTAGTTGCATGCAACTGGAGTTGCAACCACTCCAGTTGCAGCCTACCAAACAGCCTATGTAGGTGGATGGGTTGTATATTCATATCTAGTTATCTATCTTTTCTCTATTTTGTGCTTTGTGCACATTTTCTTGTTCGTTTTTTTTCATCGAATCTTGAATTGAGGCAACAATTGGGTCAGTTTTTCAATAAGAAATTGCAACTTTAGGCCATGTGTTGTCAAATATGTAAATGTGACTAATGAGATATTTGTCTTGTATATGTAGCTTTATTTTAAATTATTTGCACTTATACTTAGCATATTTCGTTCTCATTTACCGTCCACGACCTGAATGTGTCTATTTGTAGATTATTATACCACTATTTATTATATGTGTATTATTATAAATTTAAAATTAAAATATAATTAATTAATGAGGGTTACGCCTCATGCCTTGAAACTTACGCCTTCATGAAAAAGTCCATCGCTTTGCCTTGCACTTATGCCTTTTTAAACGTAGTTATGTATATATATATTACGTATATGCATACATGTACATATACATATGTGCATATATACTTATATATACATACACATAGGCACATGTGCACACCCACACATCCCAACACGCACACACGAGATTTGCTAAATGAGCTGCCAAGAGATAGACTTGTTGTGAGACCCACCATTCTTGCAGCTTGTTAAATCAGAGATGATGGACCTCACTTACTACATCTTTGTAGCTTATTTTGTTAAATGATGTGTCAGCTCATGTCCAATATGCCCTATAGACGCATTTTTTGACATTACTAATTACTTCTAAAAGATCCATGCAACTTTGGATGGTGAGTTCATAATGTTATTAGGAACCTTCTAGAACTATACCAGATAGTCTCGCAATTTTCTTATACTGTGGGAACAATAATCCAGAAGCTACGTCACCATCTTCAACATGCCCTTAACAAGATTTCTGGCAGACATACAACACCCACCATATATACTAGCAAAAAATCTGAATTTCTCGCGTCTGTGTTTCAGCGAAGCAAATAGCTTTGATTGGTTCTTCTCATACATTTTATTAATAGCCAACTGTAACCAAATCCTCTGAATGCTTCTGGATTTCATGCATGCAATACTATTAAGCTGTGTATACTGTATACTTTAACATGCGTGTCAGTGAAATTTAAATGTTTCTTTCATTGGTCCACTCTTTATGCGTGAAGATTCAAATACATGAAGGATATTAAGATTTAGATTTGGTACCTCAGTATTGGAAGGAAAAAAAAGGGTTTCTAGGCAGATGCCTTGAGGGCGCTGAGTGCTATGCGCTTTACTTTGGCAGTTCAAAAAAAAAAACTTACTAACAAACAAAAAAAAGGAGGAAAGAATGAGCACTTAAATCTGCCTGGTATTTTTTAGAACAGTGACGTGTCTCAATATGCAATTAGTAATTAATTGTTTTAAGTATGTGTTCAAGAATATTTGGGAAGCGTTTGAGAAGAGTGAAGAAGTTTTTGAGTTCATAAATATTACAAAATTGAGAGAACATGTTTGCAAAGAATCTGATATGTTCAAGAAGTTACCAACAAGTACTGGTGTTCAACATGTGTGTCCAACACGGGTAACAACAGTGGTAGAAATGTCCTTAATACATAGGTTACCTGTATTTCGCTTCACAAAAACAGACTATGCACCTTCTAGTGATCTATGAACTGATCCTGTTACCTCATTAAGTAGAGCCCTGAGCAGAAGCATGGTCGAATTGCCACAGACAAAATATCTGCTGTCTACTTTCTTCATAAGAATGTTAGTGGCTTCTTAATTCTTGTTGCAGTTGCGCATTGCCAGCTTGAATAATCTTCTATCCATTTAACTTTTATGCTTCGTCTCTTGCTCGAAAATTTGCAATTGCTCTCCTCACCCCTTAATCGAAGAGGAAACCAAAGAGAAGAACAGCGCTAACTGTTTGCCTTCATTGAAGAGGAAGCCTAAGAGAAGAACGGCGCTAACTTCATTGACGACAATAATTGTCCCTGTTAATTTTGTTATATTTTCCGTGCCTTTTGAGTGAAAAGAATTTGTTCAATGTGTGCAGGTAGACAGATGGAACGAGCAAAGAGAAAATGGAACCTTCCCTGGTCCTCTGTAGATGACCGACCACACTGTCATGAGTATAACAGTTGTCTCATTTTCAGGGCGATGGAATTTTATTATGCTGTTTAGAATAGAGAGGCTTCAGAGGCATCTTTCTTCGCGGGGGAAAAAAAAAGATCTAATAAAAGGCTTTTGACCTGTACCAAGTCTTTAAAAAAGGGTTCTTGAATACTTGTGAAACTAACTGGAGTCTGATTTCTTACAGTTTCTGCGGCATTGAGATGTTTCATTTAACATCTTCAGGTTTGGGGAGTTTTTCTTAAATAAGTACATATTTTTGTCTTTTAATCGCTACTTGTTTAGCATGCATGTGTTGGAATAGAAAGCGTTCGGTTATCCTGTACTTGCGCGTATGCAAGAACCTCAGCTTGTCACATAAAACAAAAATAGATTTTGCTACAATAACCTTACAACCTCTTGATGATAGATGGACCAGCTTTGCTTAACAAACAGATTGATCAATGTGAAGACTAACTGATGTATCACGCATGTTTCTTCGTGGAACTGCATCTGCCATACAAAATTATTAAGACGTAATAAACCAAAGAAATTTAAAATGAGACGACATCAGCAGGAAAAAACCCGTCAAGCGTCTTGTTAAAAGAATTACGACACCACAAATATTAAGCTAGCAACCTCCACGGTACTCTCTTATGAAATTATTGTGATGATCATCATAAGCCACAGAAGTCATCGGTTGCGTAGCGACCAGGTAATTAGCTCCGAGCATCCTTTGTCGCATGCAGCCGCACAGTCGTCGCGGCTGGCCCGGGATCGTCATGCATTGGTCCCTCATGCACGGGCAGAAGCAATCTTCGCTCTGAGCATCCACGGTCACAGCGACAGCCACCACGACGGTGATCAGGAACAGTGCACGAATCTTGGTGCTGCCCATGATCTCTTGTGCTCTCTATTTTTGAAGGGATTTTTATTTTCTTTATTCTTTAATTTTTTTTGGTTCTTTGTTTTCTGGAACAAGGGTTTAATAGGAGAGGGAATTTATATAGGTTTTTTTTTAAAAGGAGATGCACGTCGGTTGGGGATTTGATTTTGTGTGGTGGACCGATGTGGGACCCGCAATTTAGGGGGGGGCCTTGGCCGTTCTTTGAAGATTTGTGGTCCGCGTGGATGGTCAACGGTCAATTATAAGCGGTGAACGCTACCCAAGCAACGCATTTTGTGACTAGGCTACTTCATTCGGGACATAGCTTTTTTGTTTTGTGCTATTTTAGACATTGGGACATAGCTTTTTTGTTTTGTGCTATTTTAGACATTATGATCTCAGTCTCTGCTTTATATCATAGAAACAAAGAGATGAACATGTTTTCGTCTCGGTTACTCAACTCTTCATAGCATTGTTAGGTCGTGCCTAAGCGAAGACATAAGGCCCCAAGGCGGCATAATTGTTAGATATTGGGCCAAAGTCGAACTTAGAAAGTATGTCACTAGATGGGCATGCTTATACCGTTGAGATCAAATTTAATCTAAGATGAAAATTTCTTAAGGATGATCTATCGACAAGATGTGATATTATTCTCCGCATTATTTACGGTTGTACTTCAGTATATTTATTTCTGATGTACTCCTAAAGAAAAAAAATGTATAATTGTTTGGATCTGACCCATGTCGTGATATATTTGGGCTTAGGTCTGACGAAATGTCAAGACGGAATCATCCTTTTAAGTATAGGAGAGTAGATATGATTTCTATATCAAATATATTAAAACTTGGATCTTTGTTTAAATATAGAGAAGTAAATAGGATTTCTAATGTTATGTATATAATAATTAAATTAAATGTATTAAAACTTAGAGGGAGACAATTTTAAAATGCAGTGCTTAAAAAAATAGGGGGCCGTATTTTGCACGGGATGCACACCAGTACTGTAGAGAAAAGGGAGAAGAAATAAACTAGTACCCAGTTGTTCTCAGGTAAGGTCATGATCTACTCCACATAATACTAGCCAACAAGGTTATGAAGAGAACGATAGATCATGATGATCACGAACGACTTTTTCGATTATGTGATGCGTCTCTATTTCTCCTTTACAGCTACTTTGTTTATTACTGGTTATGTTCACCTTGTGATCAATAATTGTTCTCAATAATAGAGCATTATCATCACTTTCTATTTTCGAACATATGATCTACATCAAATGAGAACATTCTTGCATGAACACTGGCATCTTGCCCTATTTGCTTACTCAATCAAGCCTACCCTTGCCAAAAAAAAAAAAAGGAAAATACAATTAAATATCACCCTTTCTTGCTTTTATTTCCTTGGGTGAAATAAGCAAAGCCCACTTTGTATACTTTTCTTGTTGTCTTCTTATCTATCCATCCATATTGTGCATCTAATGCTCTTCCCTTGAAGTAGTAGGTCAAAAGCTTTGTTTATGTCCTTAAAATCAACTTGATGTGTGATAAACTCGTCTAAATTTAACTCCTGTCCAAATAAGAAAAAACACTAAGATAATAAGAATATAACCAATAATGTGCGTAACAATTTCATATAGTAAGGATTGTAAATTACGATTGTAACCTTATTAAGATACTGTTGTGCGAGAATTGGGATATCTGTCTTGGCTTTGATTCCTCCAAATAGTGACCCCGTGATGCTTCTACCATACAAGAGCTCCGGGGACTTTATGGACAGAGGCGCACCATGCAGCTCCACACCAAGGACTACAGTTTTGCCCCACCCCTAACCAAAGATAATATAAACCAAAATAATCTTCTTATGTACAATTTATACTAGTACCGATCATGAGGGGAAAAAGGGATTCGGATCCTCTCCACTAAAAAAAAAAATAGTGGAGGGACCACTACATAATCACAGCCATTGATTATCTAGTTGATGGTTATGATTTAGGGACCACTACATAATCACAGCCATTGATTATCTAGTTGATGGTTATGATTTTTTTTAGTGCAAATTAGGAATGAGTGCAATACACGAGCCATTGATTATCTAGTTGATGGTTATGATTTTTTTTAGTGCAAATTAGGAATGAGTGCAATACACGGAGGTATGGTAAATGTTAGATTTAAATTGTATTTTAACCGCCTACTAAATAATCAACGCTTGAGATTAAAAGTAGTGGTCTATCCACTACTTTTTTATAATGGAGAGGATCCAAATCCGGGAAAAAGAGATCACAACTGGGGAGAATTTCAGTACTGAACCCCCAAAAAGTTTGCTCCACTTCGAGTTAACCCCAAACAAATTTGAAAATGTCACTTAAATTTGAAAGCGTTTCGTATTTTTTCGAATCTATTTTCAGATAACCGCCTACTCTTTGGAGATTATCTGAAAAAGTTTTAAGAGTTAAGTGATATTTTTAAACTTTTTTTCACAACCAAAAAAAAAAAAAAAAACAGAAGAAAGAAAACTATTGCAGTAGTGTTGAATAATCATTTTCTTAGGTTGTGACGCTCCATTACCTAAAGTTGAATGTGATACGTGAAAGGTACAACAATCTCATTAAATAAAAAAAAATGATTATGATTTAGAGAACAAGAGATTGGATTACCTTTCGGGAACTAGAAAATGCCTCGCTCATCAAGGACGCTAAGCCAATGCACTCGAAGCAATAATCTGCGCCCCCATTGGTCATCTCAACTATCACCTGTTTGAGATTTCCAAGCGTGAGAGCAAAAATGAGATATATAATACCTCTAGCTCTTCATTTTTATACTAACTGGAAAAAAAAAAAAAACTACTTCATTTTCGTGCTGCAAAAGCTCAAACCTCGCTTACGGACTTTTCTCCAATATCCTTTGGGTTAATGAAATCAGTGAGCCCAAACTTTTTCCCTGCAAAAATCAAGGAAAAGAACACGATATGAGAAAAAGAAGATTTTTGATCAAAACATGCCCTCTTTTTCTTAGCAAAAATAAGGCAAGGTTTACTATTCAAAATATATGAAAGCGTATTAAAAACCGGATAATACAAAGCAATGTAACTGACATGCATATCAAAATTTCTAATTAAGCTTTCAAAAATAGTGCATTTTTTCACGTTCCTATGGTATACTTATCTGCATATCTTGCACCTCATCTTGAATTTTCAAATAACTAACATTTAGCATTTACAAATCATTAGCCTACTTTTATTTAGCCCATTTGAATTTAGTAGCACATTTTCATTTAGATAAACTAGTAAAGTGCACGTGCGTTGAACGTGGGTATACTTGTTCAGTATTAAAAAAAATTTATGTGGACCATAAAATGATGAAGTGAATCGATGATTTAGATTTTACTAATATTCATGTAATTAAGATGGTTTAAATTTTACCAATATTTATGAAACCTGCATAAAGGACGTAATAAGATATTTATGTGTTAGGATTCTTAGATAATTAGATTGGTCAATAGCTGGAAAACCTAAACTTATAGGGTAATGAGACAAAAAAGGAACCAATTCATATCATGTTTTAAATTTAATTACCTTATCAAAGTTTATATTAATCATCAGCATTTAAAGCTGAAACAAAACATACAGACATAGAGGGTCAAATTTACTAAGTAGCAGATATCTGACGTGGATTAATTGAGTGAAAAAATTATAACCATATGCATGAACAAACTTATTCTGTAAACACAATAGCAATATTAAACGATGATCTAATATTAGAGATGAGAGACACATCTTTGCTCAATTTACACTAAGGTTCAAGCTATTTAAGGAAATGTTAATCAAGAAGAGCTTTCCCAAATAAATTTTTTAAACTTAAAACTAAAATTGACATGTTTGAATAATGGAGATATATCATGCGAATGGACTTGTCACTTGTTGAAGTTTCGTGATATTACAAGAGAGATTGATTATGCTATTCATATGCATTTTATCAATCTCTAGTTCACAAGTTGGCATTGAGTCATTGCAATAGCATTTCCATAGAAATCTATTTCATCTTTAATGTCATCCAAAGCACTTTGTTTCTCAGAAATAGAAGTAAGATGGTTGGAAGGAGAGGAAAAGAGAAATAAATAAAAACATTGTAACATATAAAATGAGTAATTAATTAGAAGGTAAAAAAGCCAAAGCTTAAGAAGATATCACTTTACTAATTAGGATTTATTTATAATAAAAATATAACATTTATTTTGGATGCATGTAAATATGATGGTTGTAGTATTTATTTAATCTTTTTTCTGAAATCATGGTAAGAAAGTTTATTTTGTACTTTTCACTGTAACATCAAAAGGATAATGCAATTAGCCTAATGCATTCCTAATCATGCCCCTACTTCATGATATTAACATCACAAATTTTTTGATACAATGTATTTTAAAATTATACCGTGAAGTACGTTTAGGGGGTTGAATTTTAAAAATATTTAATCTAATGAGATTTTAAGATACATTTGTTCATTTTAGTCTTTTTATAATACATTTTGAAATTTGAGTGATCCCAATGTCTCCAAAAAAAAACTAATTTTCAAATTGCTTGTTCCAATTTAAACCGTACCAAATTGATTAATTTCTAATAATCAAGTTTCAAAATATATTTTCAAAATTCTAGTTGAATTATAGAGGAACATCTCATGCTAACACGTGCTTGAGCAAATTTAATCCTCGAAAAAAAGTCGACATCTTGTGCTCTGTTAAATTTTCTATTCTAATCCAAGTAGAGTTCTAGTTGAGCTTTTCTTTTGTAATTGTATGATTTTGACTTAGTATGTATTATGGTGAGTGAAAGAAAATGTATGAGCTAATTTACACTCAATAGATGAAAAAGAAGTTCAAAAAAATAAAAAAGGTTGTTTGTTAGTTAATTAGGTTCATAGTTTATGCATTGATTCAAATTGAATTTTAAAAGTGTAGACTCTACATCTTGTTATTATAATTATTTAATTAACTTTGTCTTATACTATTTTGTGACTGATTGGGAAGAAATTCATAGTCTTGAACTGAAATTTTAGACTCATTAGCAGCCGGTGCTCAAAAGATCCTAAGCAATAAAGAATGAAGCACATCATCCTCTAATCTTACATTAGGTAGTTTCTACAAAACTATAGTCCTCCCATGATTTAAACTTCGATGTCCCTCCGAATACAGTCGTTTCACCTTCTTAGATAGAAGAGTCGTAAGCTCCGCGACATGTAACTAAGGTAGACCAAAAAGTGAACATTGACATTCTAAAATTCTAAATATAGACATAACCATTTGTATGTAGTATTAGATTATAAACTATTGATAATGATTTTATTCTTGACCAAATATTTTTAGGGAGAGTAGGATGTGCATTTAATAAAGAGTTATGGATAATTATTTAAGGATTAATTATAACAAATGCTATACTTGCAAATTATCAAAATTTAATAGGGTAAAATAGGAAATTAAAAGTTTTGATATGGGTATTCTTTTTTATAAGTAGTATATTTTTAATAGATATTTATTGTCCGTCATATTAAGATTTTTTTTCCATCATCGTGCATATACTCAAATTTAGACCTAGTCCTAATTTGATCTTTATGAATTATGATGTCTATATACATAGGTAGAAGATAATCATCCAATAATTGATAAAGAGAAAGAGAATGCCTACCCATTTCAAACTTGGCCGGGTTCAAATCAACACCTATGATCTTAGCTGCTCCATGAATCCTTGCCCCTTCTGCCACCTGCAGAGAAACAAATATAACAAAATTTTAGTGGAGTATGCATTATATTTGTAAAAGTGTAAGCAATACCTTTTTGTGTGTGATTGGCACATTTCTTTTGGTCGAAATCTTCATCTTTCTCTTTTCTTTTCTCTTTTTATTCCTTATTCTACTAAAATAAAATGCATGTGCGTTTTATTTATCCCTTAGCATGCTCAATGATGTAGGCGTACAAAAATTATGCTATTTGCTCTTTCTTTTCTCATTCATAATTATATAATCATATTGTCAAAGGCCCTCTTTTCCCATAAAAAATAGTACAATAGTAAATTAAAGATGATATTCAAAAGTGTGCCTCAATTATTGGGTTCCTTGCACCCTCGTAGATATATTCATTATAGGACACTTCAAGTTAGTTAGTCAGTAGTCAATGATGAAAAGACATATATAATTGAAAATTTCTAAGGGTGAAAGCAATTTTCTTTTTGTTTTTAGTAAGTATATATCAACCTTAAAATCATTCAAGAATGAAGAGTGCCCAACAAAATAAAGTAGCACATGCAAGAATCTAGAAAAAGACGATATAATTCAAATGAGGCGAAAAACAACATGTTGGTACCAGGGTGTAAAGGGAGAAAAAAAAGAATTTAGGATATTGTATGTTTAATAATTTAGCTCTTGTTAGGATCAAACTAGTGAAACATTACTCCCCACACCAAACCACGAACATGAAAGTTGAAAAATAAGGCACGCACTAGTGTAATTGATAAGCAGCCTATGAATAGTACTCTAATGTCCCAAGTTCAGTTCTCTTGAGGAGCACCCATAGGAATTTGGTTTTCTAAAATACATGAGGCCGTGCATTGAGGGATGCCCCTTAGATACTCATGGGATTTGATACCCATAGTCCAAAGGATCATCGAGAAGATCTCTTAGCAAAAAAAAAAAAGCACTAGCTATTGCCAATGGACAACAACTCCACACCACGGTGTATCCAGCTGTTACGTGGGACGGTAGTGGATCATTGGATTATATAATTTTTAAAGATATTGTAAATGTTCTTTAAGGCTGAATTTCAAAAACTTACATCATGTGTATTGGCCTTTATTTAAAGAGAACTAATTTCCGTTGTTCTTTAAGCAATATATATTGAATTTTATGATTTTTGAATATGATACCTAGCCTGCAAATAATTACGATGAATTAGATTTAATACAGGGAAAGAACAATGGAGTTCACACGACGCAACGTAAGCAGGTTTAATATTAGTAATTACCGCAAGACCAACAGCCCCAAGACCAAAGATGGCGACGGTGGACCCTTTCTCCACGGCAGCAACCTTCCAAGCTGCTCCAACACCTGTAATTTTCCAAATTATATAATAAACTAATATACAAGTTTATATGAGTATAACAGTAGGAATATAAAACCTTTTCACTCTTCTTCTTTTTCATTTATTTATGTATTTATTTATTTATTATTTAATTTATTACTCTTTTTTTTTTGGGGTGAGAGGCCATGTCACAACTTCATGGGTTAGGGGTTCAAACTCAGAAAGGCCCTTGTGGTTTGCGCTGTAAATCTATTAAGCCCCCAGACTATTATTTGGATCTATTAAGCCCCTATGCTAGCTTTTTATTTTGAATCTATTTAGCCCCTATGGTGTTTCTCCATAACTAAAGAAATAGTATTTTTGTCTTATTGAATCTACTTTTTAGTTATGGAGAAACACCATAGGGGCTAAATAGATTCAAAATAAAAAGTATAGGGGCTTAATAGATCCAAATAATAGTCTGGGGGCTTAATAGATTTATGGCGCAAACCATAGGGTTCTTTCTGAGTTTGAACTCTAACTTCATTCATTATATTAAGCAAATCAATAGATTTGTTACAAGTCAACTAAGCAGCACTTAAATCCAAAGCAACGCCGCAAAGCAGGCCAGCGACTTGGTTATAACAAGTCCTCATATAATTGATGAGTTGCAGATATTTACCGGTAGAAACACCGCAACTGAGCAGGCAAGCCAGCTCCGGGGGCAAGCGGGGGTCCACCTTGGTCACGTGCACCACGTCCACCACGGTGTACTCGACGAAGCTCGACACGCAGAGGCAATTGTGAATCTCCTCCCCGTTCAAGCCCTTGAATCTGTTGGTCCCGTCACGTGGCATCCCCTTGAATCTGAACGGGAGCAGGGAGCAGATGTTGCTCCTCTCCGATCTGCAGTCGACGCACCGCCCGCAGTGCGCTAGAAACGTGGGGACCACCGTGTCGCCCGCCCGGATGTCCTCCACGTGCTCCCCCACGCTCTCCACCGTTCTGTTAACAGCCGTCGGATTAAGATCGTATATATGGTGGAGTAGATTAACTAAATTGCTCAACCTAATTAAAAAGTGATTAACTAAAATTTGATCCGGGCATCCCATCGAAACCTTGTACGTACAACGCAAATACTACAGTCTAAGTCATGCAGAGGGCAATTTCGATAGGATTCGTGCTTAGAAAAATACTAATTAAGTATCATGTAATATTGTCGGGAAAACGATAGAAATAGAATACCTCCATGTTTTTGCCATATGTAGGGGTCGAAAAGTAGCACATCTTTCAATTGTTTATATCATCAATTTGCAATTCTTTAATCTTTATAGACTTTTGTGATCAGTAGTTTAAAAGAGCAGGAACTAACTTTTTTTTTTCCAGCATATTAGTTAATTAGTTATTTGTTTGTTGAAGGAAATAGTTTAATCACGTGGGCGCAATTTGCCTTGCGGTACTGTATATATCACTTAAAAATGGGACACAAGACAGCACCAACTTTTGGAGCGTCTCCGCTAACACAGCTCACACGAAAGAGGGCAGGTAACGCAATCTCAAAAGTCTCGTGTAGATCCAAAAATGAACCAGGCAAGTAATAATTAGAGAATATCTAAACTGTCCGCTGACAAGAAATTAAGTAAAGCCAGAGGTGTGAACAGTTTGACCGAACTTAATTTGTCACAAACCTGAAAAATATGAGGTGGTAATAAAGTAAGTATAGCAAATTGGGTTGATTAATTTGCTTATATACCCTTTGTACTTGTACCACGAGAGCGTCAGTTGTTTATATCCTCTGGACTATTTATTAGCATTCATATATATATATATATATATAATATATATATATATATATATATATATATATATATATATATATATATATATAATATATATATTGAAAACTTGTGTCAATTTAAGTGGATAGGGAATAGTGTGTCCACCAAAGTTTTAACCACTCATATTGCCTAATATATATATATATATATATATATATATATATATATAATTATATAATATATATATATATTATATATATATATATATATATATATATATAGTATTCTAAAAGACGTTATCATTCGATCTCTGTGGAGAGATATGTAAGAACTATGTGACGATAAGTTATTTTACCCTCAATTTTGAATGCATAGTTTTGTTTTAAAAAAAAATAATGGCTCTTTGAAATCAATATGGTGGGGCTACTAATAAGGTAGTTTATTAGATTACAAATGGTCGTATGCACTGCAATTAGCTCTAAACAAATTCCGAAGATAATACTACACAATACTTTGTTTTCTTTTTTTCTTTTTTTCTTTTTTCTTTTGAAGGGATATAAAGAATTTCAGCAAATGAGATTTTTAGGAGTACCCGACAGCCTCATGTCCAAAAATCCTTGGAAAAATCCCAGGAAACTCCTGTAAAAAAAAAGAAGGATTAATAGAAACCACAAATAAAACCCCCAGCGGTACTAATACAAAAAAGAAAAAAAAAGGATTAATAAAAATCACAAATAAAACCTCCAGCAGTAACAATTACCGCACGGTTATCTTACCTTCATCTTCCACAAGGTGACATCGCTGTGACAGAGCGAGGTGCATATAATCTTTATCCTCACCTCCCATGCTTTGGGAGGCTCCACCTCCACCAGCCTTCTCATGGACCAGCGCCGCTTCTCCGCCACTCTGCTCACCGCCGCTGTTTATGGTCACCCCGCCAAGGGAGAGCTTAGCTTGTTAAAAAAATTAAATGACAATTATATTTCATAAAGAAAAGCGCTCGTTAGTTTACCTCTGCATCGGATGGGCTTGTTGGGGCTGCCACCGTTCTCCATTTTGAGCGGTCGTGTTCTGGTCACCGCCTCGAGCGGGGCTCCGGATGAGGATTTTATACGAACGGGGCTTGGGATAAGGATCTCTATACGAAGCTCGTACGGTGTTATCTTGTACCTGCGGATCAAGCTAATATTGTTGGTGGTCCGCAGAGCGAACGAGCCGCTGGGTGTTATCTTGTACCTGCGGATCAAGCTAATATTGTTGGTGGTCCGCAGAGCGAACGAGCCGCTGGGGCGCTCTTGGAGTGGAGCCTGACGAACGGGTCGAAACTATTATTTTGATATGGGTTAGGTCGCGGTGCGGTCACCGCTCGGTGGTGGGATTACCGTTTGCTCGATCACTGAAGGAAACGGGTGAGATTCGTTTGAGTTGTTGACTGGCCGTTAGATCCGCTAATTTCTTTTTCTCTGACTCCTCTTTTATCTCTGGAGTCTAACGAACAAGCTTCGGTGCTCCATAAAGATTAGTTGGAGCGCTGATGGCATATCTGTAAATAAATTTTTTAAAAATAGCTCTCACAATTCTAGGTAGATAGATTTGATGGTTATAAGGTGTTCCACACCCAAAATTGTAATTAACTACAACTTTAATTAGGTGAAAAGGTTATTTTAGGAAATATAATTAAAAACAGCTTCGGTGCACCGATGGCACGCACAGTAAATATGAAGCGAAATTCTCGCTCTCTAAGTGTGTAACTAAATCGTGCATGTAACCATTTTTAACTTGAAAAGTTACTATGGATTTCCACTGGCAATTTTCGTAATTAATTTTAGTAAGAGGGTTTACTAATACCTAGCTAGTAACTTTTCTTTTTTATTTCGTTTTTAATCTTCTCTCACATATCGGATCCAAAAAGTGAACCGCCATCGGGGCTCATTCACCATTGTCGCAGAACACGTAACTGACCGCCGGCCTATTTTCTCGTTCCGACGGTCACGTCAATTAATCGATCTTCAACGTCTTAATTTTATTATTGTTTGCAATTTTCTCGTCTCTAGCTAGGTATTCAATCAAATATTATCAAAACACTATACCTCAACTAGACTCAGTGATTGACTGGAAATCAAAACAAAAAATTTTAAAAGAGATGTTTGAACGCCGTCGGGGATTGAAGAGCATGGGGAAGGGAGATGAAAGAGCTGGGTTACCTGGGCATGGAGAATAGATGAGTTGAACGATAGAGATTGAAGATGATAAAATTCCACTTTTACCCTTTAATAAAAAATGGAAAAAGAAATTATTTTCGGAGCACCGAAGCAAAGCCCTTATAATAATCTGTTTATTTTTTAAAAAAAAATTACTCTTTATTTATTGTTTATTCTTGAATAATAAGTTAACTTGCAAGTGAGTTGGCTCATGAATTCATGAAGCAAAATTAAACTGAAGATCTGTATTTAATGTTTATTTAGAACAATATAGTTTCGTGAGGGAGAGAGATTTTTAGGCATTGGCTTACAGTAGGTGTTTGAGGGAGAATGAAGCTTATATAATTAGCTGCTATTGTTGTTTTTCGTTTCTGTTTTTATTATAAGCTGTTAATTTTTTTTAAATTTTCCTTTTATTTTCTCTACTTGTATATTAGGCTAAGGTGCAAGTGAATTGGTTACGCATAGAGATGTTATTCACTGCAACATAGTGTGGCATGTGACACGGATAAAATTATTTGGTTGATTATAGTTATAAATGCTTTATTTAAAAGAACAGGATTTTTAAAAAATCAGAATACTTTTATTACATCTGTTGAATTTCACTTGTCGTATTACTGAAGGCTCAGACATTTTATCTCAAACTGATAGCAAAAGGTCTGTTAGGACGTAGTCCATACAATAGCTTTTGTTTGAGTAATAACAAACTCGCATTTGCTATAAATATTTGTTTGAGATGATATAATACAGATGAAAATAGGTATACGAAGGTTACAAGGTGAAACAAAGACACAAAAATTAGCGTTTACGTTAATTTCAGCCTTGAAACCATCAATGATCTACAGTGAACCATCGATGACCAAGGTTCATCGATGGTCTTAGTGAACAATCATAGAAATTCCTCAAAGATGATTTCGAACCATCAATGGTCTACAATGAACCATCGATGGTCGCACACACCATCGATAGTGTACAGTGAATAATTGCATAATTCCAGAAACTCGAAATCAAACAATCGATGATCTATATGCAACCATCAATGGTGCTTAGGAAACCATCGATGGTCGTGAGGAACCATGGGTGGCAACGACGAATTTTAGCAAGTTTGTAGAGTTAATCACAACACATATTGAGGAGTATTTCTTAGAACTATTTTCTTTTTCCACTCCTTCAGAGGAGGTTTTGGCTGAGGTAGGTGGTGCTATCTCTTCTAAGCTTTTAGTGGATGACCTCCGGATCATTTCTGAGCCTTTTACAGGTGATGAGGTATGGGGTGCTCTTCGATCTATGGGCCCTTCTAAGGCACCCGGCCCAGATGGCTTACATGCATCCTTTTTTTAGTCTCAGTGGTCTGTTATTGGCCCAGATATTTTAGCTGCATGTTTGAAGATTCTAAATGGGGGCTCGTCTATCAAGTCTTGAAATAAAATCAATATGGTTCTCATCCCCAAAAAGGATTCACATGAGACTGTGGTAGATTTTAGACTCATTGGCTATGTAATGTGGTCTACAGGATTGTCACGAAAACCATTGCTTATAGGCTGAAGCGAGTTCTTGGCGGATTGATCGGATGCTTTTAGAGTGCATTTGTCCTGAGGAGATCAATTCGATCAGGACAACGTCATTGTTGCTTTTGATCTTATCCACACATTACAAAAAAGGAGATGGGTTAATCTGGCCATATGGAATTGAAATTAGATATGAGTAAGGCATATGATGGAGTGGAATGAGGGTTTATTGATAAGGTCCTTCAGGTCATGGGATTTAGAGGCATCTCATTTTGGACTGTACCTCTACTTCCTCACTCTCTTTCTGCTTTAATGGACAGACTGTGGGTCAGATCACTCCTACTCGTGGTCTGCGATAAGGATGCCTACTATCTCTATATTTGTTTCTTCTCTAAACGGAAGCTCTCTCAGCATTGATCATCAGACAGGAGAAAAACATGTGCATCAGAGGGTTATCTTATTTCTGATCAGGCCAATGATTTCTCACTTGTTCTTTGCAGATGACTCTTTAGTTTTTATTCAGGCTTCCCGGGATGCTGCACAGACTGTCCAGAGTACTCTGCTACTATATGATGCTGCAACCGGTCAGAAAGTTAACTTTCAGAAGTCTGCCATCACATTTAGCCCCTATGTAGATGGGGATACTAGGGCCTCTACTTTCTCTGTCTTGGGGCTTGATAAGGCCCAGTCACATGATCGGTACTTAGGTCTCCCTTTGGTGGTTGGAAGAAGTCGTCGTCAGACTTTTGCTTCAATTAGAGACTCAGTTTGGAAAAGAGTCCAAGCTTGGAGGAGGGCTCTTTTCTCAGTTGGGGGGCGAAAGGTTATAGTGAAAGCTGTTTTGCAGGTGATCCCATGCTATATGATGAGTATCTTTCGCATTCTAATTTCTTTGTGCAGGGAGATTGAGTCTATCATTATGAGATTCTGGTGGGGATCAACTTTTGGTGAGAGAAAGATTCATTGGGTTAGGTGGCAGAAGGTGTGTCGTGCAAAGTCAGAGGGTGGTCTAGGCTTTAGAGATCTATAGATGTTTAATCTGACATTGGTGGCTAAGCAGGCATGGAGAATCATTCAGGATCCTTCTTCTCTGGCTAGTAGGGTTTTGAAGAGGAAGTATTTCAGGGACTCGGACTTCCTTTCAACTGGTGTCGGCTCTGACTGCCCTTATTTATAATGGAGCATTATCTAGGGGAGAGAGCTCCTGGCTCGAGGTCTGAGATGGAGGATAGGTGATGGCCAGAGTGTCTCTATCAGTGCTGACCCATGGATCCCAAAACCCTTTTCTTTCAGGCCAATCACTTCTCCAATCGATCCTTCCAGAAGGGTGGCTGAGCTGATCTTTACTTCGGGTACTTAGAATCATGAGCTAGTTGCTACCTCCTTTTGGCAGGTAGATCGGGAGGATATTTTATTTATCCCACGCCGCCTTCTTCTATCCCTGACAGACTCATTTCGCATTATGAGGAGAAGGGGTGCTACACAGTCAAGAGTGGATACCGACTTCTTCGCCACACTATGCCTGATAATGCTTCCACCTCGGATTCTAGGGTAATAAAGTGGTGGTCCTTCATCTGGCATACGAAGATCCCATCGAAGATTATAGTGCTCTTTTGGTATCTGTTCTATGATGCTCTCCTTATCTCAGCTGGTTTATCTCACAGGGGGGTCTCTATGCCCCTAGTTGCCGCCTTTGCTCTGCTGCCTTTGAGAACGTCCTTCATATCTTCACCGTTTGCTCTTTTGCTCGTTTAGTGTGGGAGTCCTTAGATATTTAGGAAGTGATTAATGGTTTTCGAGGCACGTCTTGTAGTGATTTCCTTTTCCATCTCACCTCTGTTTGCCGTGGGGACTCTCTGGCTTTGGCTTTCACAACCATGTGGTTTATATGAGAGGAAAGGAATATGCATTCTCATGGTGGTGGTGTTAGAGAGGCCTCGGTTTTGGTGACTCAGATTCTCTGTTTTTGTGGAGGAAGGGGATAGAGTTAGAGGTCTCTCCCGTGATATTGTCACCCTTCCAAATGGCCTTCTGCTTGGTATCCCCATGCTCCTGGTTTGCTGAAGCTCAACACAGATGTTGTTGTTCTTCTGGAAGGAGATATTATTAGTTTGGGAGGTGTTATTCGGGATCACCATGGACATGTGATTGGTTGTTACTCTATGGGGATCAGGGTTCCTATGTCTGTGGATCATGCAGAGCTGTTGGCTGTTCTGGAAGGCATTCGCTTTGTTCGGCATATGAACTGGAGGATTTTAGTGGTAGAAATTGACTCTCTAAAGGTTGTCTCCTTGGTAGACTCTCCTTCTCTTTTTGCTTCCTTGGCTCCTAATGCAGATGATGTTCGCGCTGGTCTGACTATTACTGGCTACTCTAAAGTTTTTTATGTAAGGCACACTGGTAATGATGTTGCTCATTCCCTAGTTAAGTCGGTTGACTGTTTGTCTTCTTGTTTTTGGTCTGTTTTTGTTCCTTTGTTTTT